AGTATTTAGAAAAATAGTATTGAAATTCTTTTTATGTAGGAAAATATGTACCTGACTTAACGATGCATCCTACCAAATCATTGATTATAGGCGCGAAAAACATAGTATACATTTAACATTCTTATAATGAGTAATATAAACATTAGCATAATTAGAAAAACTTTATTTTCAAGTAGAAAGTACGTGTGACCTTTCTTCAAAACAAAAGTCATAGAGTTATGACTAATATTTTATTTTTAACTTTCGTAAAATTATGAATACTATATATGATGTACTTTTAGATCAAGTTATAAAAAATTTAATGAATATCTCATTTAATATCCTGTTATGAGTATTAGCTTCTAATTAATCCCCTTTGGGGCAATTGATATATATATATAACTATTTTATTTAGTTTTTTTGCTCTGTATAGAATACTCTTACAGTTCATAAAACTTCGATATTATCTAAGGTCGTTTTATTTATGTGTTAGTGTATATTTATAATTGACCATTGATGATGTAGTAAAAGGTTTGAGACAATCAATATAATTATTGATTATACACTGCATCTTTTTCTATTAATATGCCGCTGATCTTGAACCATATGATCGTGCAGGCATGTGTAAAAAAGAGATGTTATATTAAAATGCGACTTTATGCGGAAGGTACTAGCCGAAAAGATTAATCGTTAGTGACTTTGAAAAGCCGCGATAGAATAAATTCCAATAATTATATTGTTTTGTCATAAACTGAAAACAAAATCGAAATATTCTGAGGTCAATTTATTCATGTATACATATATAGTCATATTAAGAAAAATGCTATATTTTTTGAAATACATATTATTTTTCCTATTTAGACTTTTGATAATGATTCTTATTAATTAATATAATTACTAATGGCATCATCGGGTGAGCAGTCTTCTTTTTTTCTTTTGTTTTTTATGGCTCGACTAATATTCGTGATATTAATAGCAAGCGATTTGTTTTTGTATTATCATATCACGTTGACCAAACCTATTATGAAGGTCGTGATGTGTAAAATCCTCTTTTTTTCTGTCATTTTTTGACAGTTTTGTCTATCACTTGAGACAT